TCCCACTCCTTCTTAAGGTAATTGGAATTTACATGTTCAAGACTTCTGCTCCATTGCCCTCCTTTCCCGGATTGTCATCACTGTCCTAATTCATAACCCTACTGTGTCATGTTTTTAGCTCTCAAGACAGGAAGAAATCAGCCAAGGTCTCTATGAAGTCCATCTTCAGTCTTCATGCCAGAGATATCAAAATAATGGACCTGGCACAGAAAACATCCTGAGGAAGAAATAGCCAAGAGTACTGCATTCATACTTGGAATTAGTCTTCTTTCCCTAAACTAAGCCCAGTACCTTCTTCATCAGTCCTTCTAGAGTGACACTCTATTTCCCACCCCAGGTTCTTTGCAGTGTGCCAAGAGTTGCTCAAACTCATGGAAAACAGCATTAGTTTCACCAACATGAGATACGTAGGATAAATAAGTAATAAGAGACAGAACCTAGAATAGAATATACCAGGGGCTGAAAGGAAATAAAAATGAAATTATTAATCCCCTAAGAAGGTGGCATTGAGGTGAACTATACTGAAATTCTTTTTCTACCCATGAGAAATACAACCCAGTTAAGTCTGTGGTACAAAGAAGTAATGGTATTTGCATAGATGAGCCATCTTACAGATGTTAAGTGCAATATGATGCATAGGTTATCAACCCTAAAGGAGCACCAAACACTCCACCAGTTAACTAATTCCAGAGGACCATAAACACTTCTGCCCATTTTCCTCTTGGAATTGAGGTTGCCAAGGGAAACCATTTAGCCAGCCATTGATGGAACAAAAATATCAACTTTGATAATGTGCCTTGATCCCATTTTGACAGGGGGTACCACTACTTGTCCATTGACAAACTCTACTCTTCTGCCATAAAAAGATCCTATCTTGTCCCCACTGCAACACAGATTCAGGAATGGGGCTGACCAGGTGCTATGTGATATACTCTTCACCAGAACAAGGTATATATATTGAGCCTTGAGTAGAGGAGGACATTCCCATATGAGGCAATAAATCTAGCACAGGCTATCCGGGCTTTGTATCTTGGTAAGAAAACATCCCAGGCCCAGAGGTTCATGTCTGTATAGCCAAGTAGGGGTCAAGAGGACATGTGTACTACCTTACCCAACAATGGGTCCATGCTTACATACCACAGTGCTGCCCAATATTTATGTGACTTTAGAAAATAGGGTTCACTATGTTTGGAGAATTTCTACAGCCAGTATAAGTTCTAGGAATAACAATAGTGAGTGGAAATGGAGGCAAAGATACACATAGCTGAAGCAGTTAATTGGACATTTTGACTTAAGGCTTTATTAAGAGTTTCTGGAAATTCAATTTACAGAAACCCAGGAAGTCCAGAGAGTGGAGTTCATTATTTCCACTGGTTTCTTCAATTGAGTCCACTTTCTAAGGGAGCTCAGAGATGTAGGTTGAACACAGCAGGAAGTGCCCACATATCACTCACTTCTCTTTCAACTTAAACTCTTTTCTCCCTCTAGTACCTAATTGGGATTTCTACCATGATTTGTACCTTCTTAAGTCAAGTATTCAAGCAACAGTCTACAAAATAGGGAAGAGGACTTTTCATTTATCCTTCTAAATCATGTGGTAAGTCTAGATTTTTCTTCTTCAGTTAAGGAAGCCACCATACAGAATTGACAGATAAAAGTCTGAGATGTTTTGTGTTATGTAACATGTACTGTAATTTCTAAAGAGGTTAAATGTATTTTACCCTTTTTCCCACCCATGATTTACTACCCAAATGAGAGATATGACAAAGAATTAAAGACAAATGAAACTAAAGCATCATTTTTATTATAGATTAAGACAAGTTGGAGGCCAAAGGTCAACATAAACACCTAGAGAGCTTTGACTTTTCCTACTCCAGTCATAGTAATTGTGATATTACCTCTATTCTGCTCACACCCAAGGACAGAATCACCTGTCT